CCTCGGTGGGGCCGGGCCACCCCAGCTGCTAGGCCACCTCCTCCGGCAGCCTCTAGTCCCTCGGAAGCCGGCTCGAGCCCACTCCTCTGGTCCAAGGAGCCACACGGAGCCACTGGGTCTGACCCCCTGAGCAGTGGGCACGGCCCTATGCCCCAGGAGGGGGTTAGTCCAGAGGCTTGCAGGAACCAGGGGGCGCAGGCTGTACGCAGGCCTCACCCCGGGACGAATGCAGCGTAAAGATCTGTCGGCTGAGCTCTCTGGGCACTCTGCTGTGCCAGTCAGTCCTGGCCCGGCCCTCGGCAGCCTGGCTCCCAGGGTGCAGACCCATGCAGGAGAGATGTGGGTGTTGGGGGGGGCGGCGCGGGAGAGGCACTCCCCCGGCAGCCAGGCTGCAGTGCCCTCGCCACTCCTCGAGGGCAGGTGGCCCAAGTCCAGGGCAGGGGGTGTGCACCCGGCTGGGGAGGGGTCTGGGGTGGCAGGCCCTCGGGGGGACATTGCGCACTGAGGGTGTCCATCGCTCTTCCACAAAGGCATCTACATCCTCATCGCTGTGGGTGCCGTGATGATGTTCGTGGGGTTTCTGGGCTGCTATGGGGCCATCCAGGAGTCCCAGTGTCTGCTGGGGACGGTAAGGTCTGGGGCCAGGCGGGGGTGGGAGGGGGCTGCAGAGGCAGAACCCAGAGTTCTGCTGCAGACACCCCATGTCCAGCTCAGACGGCCCCCGCCCCTTGCCGGTGTGATCCTGGAGTGGGGGCTCGCAGGGTGGCCTAGGGACATTTCCCGGAATGTCAGCCCTCCAGGGTCCCTGTGTGGTTCAGAAATCCCGCCCTGGTCGATTGCTGTGACATCTGGTTCCTAACTCATGGTTCTACGGTGGCTTTTCTTCTCTGTTTTTAATAAAAAGCCACAGAAACAATAGCGGGCGTGTCCCAGCCCCTCAGCCAACCTCAGTGGGGAAACTGAGGCCCGGGAGGCCAGGAGGCATGGGTGGTGGGCGCCTGTGTCACGGTGACCCCCTTCCCACGGGGAGCGGAAGAGGGTCACTTGGGGCCCGAGCCGCCCGGGGCTGTGCCGGCCTGCAGCCCCCAGCTGCTGAGCCCCGGCCCGCGGGGATGCTGGGGAGCCCGGCGGGTCACTGCTGGGACCGAGTCTTGCCCTCCGCGTGGCTCATCTCTGGTTGGGGCGTGGGGGTGGGTGCCCCCGCTCTGGTTGGGGCGTGGGGGTGGGTGCCCCCGCCAGCCGCACACACACCCGTCGGTCACTCGGGCGCCTGGCGTCCGCGCGCGGCCCGCCCTGAGCCGCCTGCTCTCATCGCCCGTGTCTCTGCCGGCCCCCGCGGCCTTCCCAGTTCTTCACCTGCCTCGTCATCCTCTTTGCCTGTGAAGTGGCTGCTGGCATCTGGGGGTTTGTCAACAAAGACCAGGTGAGCCTGGGGCCACGGTGGTGGGGCTGCCCCGGCCCGGCCGGGAGGGAGGAGTGCCTGCTGCTCAGGGTGTGGGGAATGGGTCAGGCCTACCCTTGGGTTGTGGGGTGCTCTTTGGGGCTCCCCGTGGGGCCTGCCGGGCAGAAAAGCATGGAGGGCTTTCTGGAGGAGGTGGCTCAGGGGCTGAGTAGAAGGCAGGGCCACCTGTCTCCCAGCCTCGGGTGGGGGTGGGGCGGGCACCCAGGTCTACCTTGGAAGCATCATCTTCAAGGGAGAGCCAGGGGAACGCTTACCCCCTGGGATGGCCCCTGTGGTGGCCGGGACCTCACCCCTCCTGCACACCCCTCCCCCAGATCGCCAAGGACGTGAAGCAGTTCTACGACCAGGCTTTGCAGCAGGCCGTGGTGGATGACGATGCCAACAATGCCAAGGCCGTGGTGAAGACCTTCCATGAGACGGTGCGGGAGGGGGTGCTGGGAGGAGGCCTGGGGAGCTGGGGGGGGGGTCGGGGGGGCCGTCCTCTTGGGTCAGGCCCCGCTGGGGTTGAGTCTGGCCCCAGCACAGACCTCAGGAACAGGAGGGGTGCTGCAGACCTGGCGGGCCAGGGAGCCCTCTCTGGGACGCCCCTGGGGGCACTCTCGGGGACCCATGGATCCCCAGGGTGAGCCAGATGAGCCTATTAGGCCAGGGCACAGTGGGAGGAAGGGGAGGAGAGGGGCCCCCGGGCTCTGTTCTCCCCCTGAATAGACCATCCCAGCACCCCCCACCCTGGGCCAGCCCGCGGGATGCGTGTCCTTGGCCATCTCCCCACGGGTCATGTCTGCACAAGGGCCCAGGGCTGACCGCGGGGGTCCTCGGTCCCTGCAGCTCAACTGCTGTGGTTCCAGCACGCTGTCTACACTGACCACCTCCATCCTCAAGAACAACCTGTGTCCCTCGGGCAGCACCGTCATCAGCAACTTGTTCAAGGTACGCGGGGCCGGGCCTCCCAGGCTTGCTCCCACACTTCGCCACCACCAGCCATGCGTGGGTCCCGGGGGGTGGGGTGGGCTTCCACCAAAGGGGCACCTGCTGTCTGGCGCGCTCTCTGATGCTGGTGGGTCTCTGCCTCTGGCTCCTGATGGGAGAGTGGGTGTGGAGGGCGCCCCGACTGCCCAGGTCCGCACCCTCCTCGGGTGGCTCAGCGACCTGAGCGGAAGCGCGCACACACAGCACGTTCCGTTTCCACGTCTGTTTTAAAACGGGTGTGAGATAACCTGGCAGAGACCAGGCCCTGGTCACACCTCTTCTGAGGGGTTGAGTCCCTCCGTGCTCTTTCCACAACGAGCCCGTGTGCCGCTGCACTGCGGGGGCCCGAGGGCCTGCGCCCCTGACGGTCTGCGGGCTGTCGCCCCCCCGCCCCCCCAGGAGGACTGCCACCAGAAGATCGATGACCTCTTCTCGGGGAAGCTGTACCTCATCGGCATTGCGGCCATCGTGGTTGCTGTGATCATGGTGAGTGCGCGGGCCAGGCATCTGCTCAGGGCACGCCCTCAGGGCTTCGGGTGCTGACTGTCCCACCCAACCCCTCCCTGCAGATCTTCGAGATGATCCTGAGCATGGTGCTCTGCTGTGGTATCCGGAACAGCTCCGTGTACTGAGCGGCCCAGCCGCTCCCGCTGCAGGGGAGGGCCGGCGGGACTCCTGCAGTGCCCCCGGAGTGACCGGACATTTCTGAGGACGGGCCGTCACCGCCCATGTATATAACTTCTCCGGTATTACTCTGCTACACTTATTAGCCTTTTTACTTCTGAGGTTTTGTTTTTGTCCTGAAGTTCCCCGTTACCTTTTGGGGCTGGAGTCACCTATAGAGGGCACGTGAGCGGGCCTTGGGGACTGTGAGGCAGGCGCCCCCTCTGCTTCTGCGGCTGGAGGGGCTCTGCCTGCTCAGCCAGGCCTGTCCTGAGGGCCCCTGGGCCCACCCACCTGCCCCCCGGGCTGCGCGGCTCATGCCTTTTTTAACCGTCGTTCCTCTCCTGCCACTTGTGTGGAGCCGGGTCTGCAAGCAGCCTTACGCCTTCAGTGCACCTGTCCTTTCTAACTCGTCACCTTTCACTGTAATTACGTCTCGAAAGTCATTCAATAAAGGAGAATCCGGGCATGCGAACAAACTGTCTCTGTGCCTGCAGCGTCCGAGACCCCGGGGGCGGCCAGAGGGGCAGAGGAGCCGGCGCGGGCAAGGCACGGCTCTGTGGACCTTGCAGGGTGTGCCGGGGCCCCGAGAGCACTCCACACAGCAGGTGCCCCCGTGGTGGGTCCTGTGCCGCCTTCACCAGCCTCCACCCAACCTCACTCCCCCGCCTACTCCTTGGGCACCACCGCCCAGAGCGGGGCAGGTACTGTGGGGTAGGGTGTGCTTGAGGCGGAGGGCCTGCAAGACTCCCCTTCCTCCTGGCGCACAGCTCTGCGGAGGACACACACCGTCCCCCCACCACAGGGACTCTTCCTGGCCTCTTTGGGTGCTTGTAAGTGTTCCATGGAGAAACTGGGTAGCCCCGGGCCTGAGCTGCGTCTTGCGAGGGCTGAAGAGGAAGGTCTGAGCCTCTGCACACGGGGGGAGCCCACCCGACCGTGGACCGTGACGGACGTGAGGCCCCGCTGCCAGCCCCGGGTACTGCTGGGTGACGTCACCACGAGCTATGCGAAACCGACCCCTTGAGGCCGCAAGCGCCTGGCTGGGGTTCAGGTTGAGGGCTCACAGCTGCCTCCCGTGAGGTTTATTTTGGAAACTAGCCCCAGCCCTGCATTTGGGGTCACCGGGTCTCAGCGGGGTCCGCCCCTCCTACCACACCCCTCCGCCTTGCGTGCTGGGGTGGGTTGCTGGGAGGACAGAGTGGCCCACGGAGCCCCCTCCCGCCTACTTCCCCCTGGGCGACCCTGGGGCACCCTGGCCCCCGGGGGGCACAGCGCAGCCGCAGTCCGGGCTCCAGGGGTAGGCCTGGGGGCGGCCCCAGGAGGGAGGGGTCCCCGGGGCATCCTGGCCCCCGGGGGGCACAGCGCAGCCGCAGTCCGGGCTCCAGGGGTAGGCCTGGGGGCGGCCCCAGGAGGGAGGGGTCCCCGGGGCATCCTGGCCCCCGGGGGCACAGCGCAGCCGCAGTCCGGGCTCCAGGGGTAGGCCTGGGGGCGGCCCCAGGAGGGAGGGGTCCCTGGGCTTCCCGACCACGCCTGGACTGCAGCCCCGAGAGGAGCGGGGGCCGGCGGGGACGCACGGGGCAGCCCGGGTGGACGCGGCCGGCCCGGCCATCACGCCTGGAGGTAGAGACGATCGCTCCGCGGAAACCCGGACCCGCCCCCAACCCCCGACCCAGGAGGGGCGCGGCCGCGCGGTTCCGGCCGGACCGGAAGCACCCGGCAAGGGCGCTGCGCGCGAGGATGCACTTCCGGTTTGGGGCATCCGCTGTGCTCGCGACTTCCAGCAGGTGGCGCTGGGGCCCCGGGAACGCGGAGGCGGCCGTTAGCCCTCTAGCATTCTGGGAGTCGTAGTGCTGCCTCTTCCTCCTCCCTCTTTTCCCTACTCAATTCCGGCTCTTCGCGAGGAGGAGAGACGCCGTTTCCGGGGAGGGGAGGCTCGGAAGAAAAGTGAGGACGCATGCGCAGGGGCTACGCGACCCGGGAGGCCTCGGGAGTAGCGGCCCAGTGCCTTGTGGGAGATGTAGTTCTTCAGGTGCGGACGCCGCGTCGCTGGGCCGGCGGAGGACTCGGTTTCCCAGAAGGCCGAGCGCGGCGCAAGATGGAGCCGGCCCGACCGCGCCGATCCGGTAGGTTTGTGCTGAGGCGGTACGCTGCTGACCGCCGGTCGCGTTTCTGGGAGGTCGCTGTCCGCAGCCTACTTGCCCAAGCCCCGAGGCCCCCCCAGAGTGCTTCGTGTCTCCGGTCCCTCGCGGCCTGGGCCTTGGGCCCCCGAGCCTTGTGCGGCCTGGACCCTGTCCGGCCCAGGCCCCCGACGGGGCGGAGGAAAAGCCAGGGCTTCCGCTTCCGAGTGGGGGCCGCGCGCCGAGGGCAGCTCGTGGGCCCGCCCCCTGGGAGCCGCCCCCAGCCCCCGAGTCCCCAGCCGCCGAGGCCCCAGCCGCCGAGGCCCCAGCCCCCGAGGCCCCAGCCGCCGAGGCCCCAGCCCCCGAGGCCCCAGCC